TTAAGACAATATTTGTAAACTGGCACATAGAGTGGTTTAATAAATTGTCCATTCCTTTCAAGTATGTGTTTGACTAGATGACCTCTGAGGTCTCTTCTGATTCTGTGATTCTATGTATGTCCTTACCTGAAGCTGCTAGTTGGCATAGTAAATAGAGTGCTGAGCCTAAAGTCACAAGACCTGAGTTCAAATCTAGCTACAGACACTTCCTAGCTGTGTGGCTCTGAGCAAGTAACTTCATCTGTTTGCCTTAGTTTACTCAACTGTAAAATAGGGATAATAATAGCACCTACCTCCCAAGGTTGTTGAAGGAATCAAATGAGAGACAATAATTGTAGAGCACTTAGTACAGCACCTAGCTAAATAGTAGGCACTTAATAAATGCTTGTTTTCTTCCTTCTTTATCCTATTACTAGACTTTTCGCTCCACCAATGCAGACAGAATGTTTTATGTAAACTCTGTATTTCCTTAGGGCCTAACACAGTCCTCTGAATATGTATGGGCTTAAATAAATATTTCCTGAATTGAATAGAATATGTCAAATATAACCTTTTTCAGGTAATTAGTGTGATATTGGCACCTAATGAATTAATAAAGCCCAGAAAATTTAAGGCACAAAACAGATAACTATAATCTAAAACATTACAAGTATATTACAAAAAGCGTAAAGCATTAAGCATAAAGGGGAAGATCTTTACCTGCTATGGGCATCAGGAAATCTTCACATTAGAGGAAGCATATGATTTGGGTTTTAAAAGATGGATAGCAGGTGAAGAATGGAACAGTTTTCTCATCTGTAAAATAAAATGATTGAATTAGATGATCTTTAAATCCAGCTCTAAAAATTCTCAATGCAGAAGGCTAACAATGAAACAGGTCAAGTTTGATAATGCTTATTCAAAAATTCAATTCATCAGAAGCATTGGTAAAAACTACACTATACACACCTAGTACAGTATCATGTCCTCTGTGGTAACACAATTTTTTTAAAGTTCTGGAGGGGGGCAGTTAGGTAGCACAGTGAATAGAGCTCTGGCCTTGGAGTCAGGAGGACCTGAGTTCAAATCCAGCCTCAGACACTTGCTAGCGGTGTGATCCTGGGGAAGTCACTTAATCCTGATCGCCTCAGCAAAAAGTAAAAATAAATAAATAAATAAATGCTGGTTGAATGATTAGGGGCAGGTAGATGGTACAGTGGATAGAGCACCAGCCCTGAAATCAGGAGGATCTGAGTTCAAATCCGGCCTCAGACCAAACACTTGACACTTACTAGCTGTGTAACCCTGGGCAAGTCACTTAACCCCAACTGCCTAAAAAAATAAAATAAAAAAATAAAGTTGTAGGAGAAAGAAGATGAAACTGTTGCTTAACTTTGTCCTTTGGTTTTACCTGTGAAATTCAATTTTATCTCCTTTCCACTAAGGCTAAGCAAGAGCAAAATAGACAAAGAAGAAACTAAGTCTTGATATAACAGCTACTCTTTTAAGAACAGCTAATGTTCACTTGCAGAAAAAAAAATGTTTATTAGTTTGGGGGAATTATTATTATTATTAATTATTAAGAATACTATGTAAGAGTATTTAATATATATTTATATATAACATATATTATACATACATGTTATATATATTTAAAACATATTTATGTTTTGGAAGGTTTCCACTTAATCCTAAGAGGAATTTCTTCTACTGTCCTATAAAGCTGCAACTTGAAGGTTCTTGATAATCATAAATCCTGGGCTAGAAAGGGCTGAAAGAACTAAGAGAGACCCACATTCAAAAATTCCTTTTTTCACCTAGTTTCATTAAATTCTACTTAACTAATCCCTAGCATGACACAAGACATAGATCCTCTCTTGGGTTAAATGCTGAACAAAATAGCCAGTTAAAGGATTAACTCAGAATTCTACTGGACAGAGTATCAATGACTTTTTTCAGTTTATGTATTTTGCTATATAGAGTGCTTTTAAAGTTTTACAGTATACTGAAATCAGTAAGGATAATTCAGTATTGTTACCATATATAGTTCAACAAAATATTTCAGAGGGATTAAACTTTGTTATGTTGTTTAGTCATTTTTGACTCTTCATGAGCCCTTTTGGGGTTTTCTTGGCAAAGATACTGGAGTGGTTTGCTATTTCTTTCTCCAGCTCATTAACAGGGTTAAGCAACTTGCCCAGGGTCACACAGATAGTAAGTATCTAAGGCTGGATTTGAACTCAGGAATATGATTCTTCCTGATTCCAGGCCCAGTGCTCTATCCACTGTGCCAATTCAACAAACATCTATTAAGGGCCCACTATGTGCATGATGCTGTGCTAGGCACTAGGAATACAAAGAAAAATGAAACAATTTTTGCCCTCAAGGAGCTTACATTCTATTGTGAGACAACAAAATGTACATAGAAAGGTCAATATAAAATATATACAAAACAACCACAGTGAGGTAGGAAGAATACTGACATAGAGGGGTGGAGATAAGTAAAGGAGAAATTTCAGGAAAATCTCTCGGTACTGTGCCTTGAAGCAAGCTATGGATCCTAAGAGGCAGTGGTAAAGAGGGAGTACATTCAGGGAATGAGGTATTTGCCTATGAAAATGCTCAGTTTGGAGAAAAACAAGTTGGCCAGTTTGGCTGGAAGAAGAATGTAACAGGTAATTGTCTGGAAAAAGAGATTGGTTAGGGTTAGATTGTAGTGGGTTTAAAATGCCAAACAGGGCAGTTTGTATTTTATCCTAGGAGTCTGGTGACTGACTGGATACAAGGAGTGAAGGAGAATGAAGAAGTGCTGATGACTCTTAAGTTGCAAACCAGGTTGTCTAGAAGGATGATGAGGCCCTATATAGAAACAGGGCAGTTGGAAGGGGATGGATTTTGGATAGGAAGATAATAAATTCTGACTCACTAACACATGAATTCTTTATCATCCATCAGACCAGATGAAGCATTCTAGGAGAGAATAATTTAAGCTTGGTTCCCTGGATAGGACTTGTATAACCTATATCAAATACCTTGCCATCTCAGAGAGATGAGGAGAAGAGGAGGGAGGGAGATAATTTGAATCTCAAAATCTAAAAAAATAAATGAATATTAAAAATTGTTTTTACATGTAATTGGAAAAAAATAAACTATTATTCCTAGATAGGACTTTGGTGAAGCCAAGACCAACACACATAAGAGAAATGAGATGGTATTTCTAGAAAGGAAACTTTAAGTCACTTATATGTTTTTATTTGTCCTCTTTACTGAGGACAAAGCAAATGGAAAACCAAAAAAGGATAATTTATTAGGTAGATAAGATGTAGTATAGGTAGTAAAGTTGGTGATATTTAACTTTGTTACTAATCTGGAAGTTGGAGTCAACAATGCATAAGTATATTTCAGAGTACTTAGGAAGTACTAAATTGAAAACTTCAGGAAACATAAGTGAACAAAGAGGAAGTAGTATAGATCTAAATATGAGACAGAGGTTGACAGCTGAGCACCCAACCATATTTTAAGCATCCAACCATATTCTGGAACAGAAAATAAGATTCAACTTGGGTATGTTTCAGTGCTATTAATTTGGAAAAGTAAAAAAAAAAGATTAAGAACATAAAAATTATCTTTTCATTATTTAAGAAGCCTGACTGAAAGAAGAAAATCAATTTTAGTTCACTGGGCAATAATAGCTAAAAGAGGATAGAATGCATCCACAGCTGAAGTTAACTTATAACAGAAATAACTTAGGCTTGGAAAGTAGATCACGGTAGCAACTTTATGAAACTACAAAGACAAAAAATAACTAGATTGCCAGGGGAAAATAAGGCACTTAAAATATCAGGAAAGACTAGATGAACAAGTGATCAAATGGGGGCTGGGTTATAAGACACAAATACCAGCAAATACAATATGTAAATGACATTGTACAGAACACAAAAACAGGCACCGGAGGAAGTTTCTTTCCAGTCGCTATTGACGCTGATATCGATGATCACTATTGCATCATTTTGTTTTAAATACCTTTTTTTTTCTTTTTTAGGATGGACGCTCCTTTCAACTAACCTTTCATAGCAACATTGTGCCACCACTAAATGCCTAGGTCTGCTCCAATCTATTAGGGGGAAGAAAAAAAAGCAAGAATAAGCTGGGACCCTTTCAGGTGACATGACATCCAAGTAAGTACCACGGGCAGTTTTCGGAGACCAAGTGTGTGACCACTGAACGGACAGCTAAGACATTTCCTCCGCCCCCATCTTCTTTTCCCAAGGAGATCAAGTCAGAGTCAACCGTGATTCTACCAGACTTTCAAACTCCAACTCCCCTGAGTCAGGAGGAGCCCGGGTCCCTACCCTGGGACCGCCAGGTGTCACCAGAAGGAGGTGTCCCGCAAAGCCGAGAATCAGCCCCTCCGGAGCTGCCCTGGGATGGGGCTTACACATTCTCCTACCAATGCCAAGGCTCCAGCGGAGACGCCGCCAGCCGGGGTCCGCCACCGGAAGGGAGATGGAGCTGGGGCCAGGAGGGGGACTCGTTTGCCGGCCTGCCAGGAGACGCGCCGCTTCCCGAACGGTCGCAAGACGGGCCAGAGATCGCCAAAATGACCGCTGCTCCTCGTGCCTGCTGTCGGACCGCCAGCTAAGATGTCCCGATCTCGTCCGACGCGACCAACGTACCAAACCGCACCTCACACCCAGACCAGACTAGCACCGGCCCTTAGGTCTAGGGAAACCGTTGAAACGCCTGCGCACTTAGACCTTCAGGTTTCGCGCTTTGCGCACGCTAAACTCCATCCAATCACCCCCGCCCCCTGGTGGCCAAAGGCCCGCCCCCTCTGCCCTCCTCTAGAAAGGGCGCTTGCGCAGTGGCTGGGCCCGAGTGCGTGCGCCGTGGCGGGGCAGCGGCGCGTGCGCAGGGCGAACTCCCTCCCTCCTCCCCTTCTCCTTCGCTCCGCCTCCTTCTCCTCCTCTTCCTCCTCCTCCTCTTCCTCCTCCTCCTTCTCGCCCCCTCCCCACTCGGAGCGGTTGGTGCTAGCTCCCCCGTAGCTCCGGGCTCTCCTCTGCTCACGGTCTCACCCGGGCGCTGTTGCGCGGTGCGGCCCCGGTGTGTGAGCGCTTACGGCCCTGGTTACGGGCATAGCGGTGGTTGCCTCGTGCTCCGGGGGTCGGCGCGCGCCGCACGGGGGGGGATTCTCGCCATGTCGACGGATGAAGTGAACGGTCTGTGCGAGCAGCTGGTGAGGGCGGTGACGGTCATGATGGACCCGAGCTCCACCCAACGTTACCGCCTCGAAGCCCTCAAGGTAGCCTGCAAAGGGGGGGGGGGTCTGGCACCGCCGAGGAGGAGTCCCAGCCCCCGCTGCCCACGCGCTGCGGACGCCGGCCCCGTGGCTCCGCTCCTGCCTCGGGCCCACGAGGCCTACGAATCCCTTCCCCTCCCGCGGCCTCCCTGCCGCCCCGCTTCAGCATCTCCTCCTCCATAGCCCCCTCACCTCCCGGGCTCGGCCCAGGCCGGCGGCGCTCAGGCCCTATCCCCACCGCGAAGCTTTTCCTTGGGCCCTTGTTGCCAGCTACCCGCCCCCCCACGCCCCATCCTTGCTTGCCTCCGCGTCTGCCCATCCCCCCCTGTTTTTTAAGAAATCGGGCACAATAGTGACTCTACCCCCTCCTTGCCTTCCCCGGGTAGTTTACGTGCCCTTTTTCCTTTCTTCTTCTCCCCCCCCAATTCCCTCCCCCACATCTTTTCACACCCATCTCCTAACACTACACCTCACTCTGGGAGATCTCTTCTTACCCTCCTCAACTACCTGTAGACATGCAACCCCAGTCCCTTCCCCTGCCTGGACTTTTTCTTTGTAGGCACTCTTTTCATGTCAAAGCATCTCTCTCAGTTCGTCTTCCCTGGCCATTCTTCTGTTACTCGTCACCGCCCCCCCCACACACACACACACCCTAGAACTCTAGGATTTTAGCTTGTGATGTTTTAGGCTCTTTTGCATAGACTTCTAGTTTTGCATCTTTTTTTTAATAATGGCAATATCATTTAGTGGAAATGGTCTCCCGGGGTTTTATGGGGGAAAGAGGGTCATGGCCATGAACATTTATTAAGCTGCAGAGGGGGGAGAATAACAGTTCTTACTCCCTTATCAAACATAAGTACGGGTAATGGCTGATTTGCTACCCCCACCTCACCCCACCCCTCCAAAAAAAAAAACCTTTATAACTTTATAAATGTTGATCTTCACTCTGGGGAAAATAAGTAGATCCTGCACAAGGAGTGAAATCAGAAATAACTGACATCTTAATTGGGCTGGCTTAAGTACTTTTTGCTTTTAATCTACTTGACTGGGGTAATGAATCTAAAAGTAAGAATAATTAGTGAAGGATGTTTTTTTTTCCTTGTTCACATGTTGACATGTATTTGCTTGTTGACAATACCAAATAAACCTCTTCATGTTTTTTATTTCTCAGCTGCTAGTAAAAGTTTTAACTATTTTCCTTCCTCAGTTCTGTGAAGAGTTTAAAGAAAAGTGTCCCATTTGTGTCCCATGTGGCCTGAAGTTGGCTGAGAAAACACAAACTCCTATAGTTAGACACTTTGGCCTTCAGATCCTGGAACATGTTGTCAAGTAAGAAACTCGTACTTACCTGAGATCATTCTGGCTTCATATAGCCTGTAGTTTTCCCACTGAACCTTCTAAATGTAAGGATTGTTTTTCTTTTTCTGGTGACTTCTGCTGTATGGGTGGTCTTCCTGTTACTATACAGAATCCTATCCAAGGAGGTTTCCTGGTGTAGGTGGAAAGAATATTGGACTTGGAGTCAGCAGAAATTGGGTTAGAATCCTGCCTCAGGTGCTTCCTAGTTGAGTGAGCATGGTCACTTTACTTAATCTCTCTTGGCTTCAGTTTCTTCTGTAAAGTGAAGCTAATACCTGTAGTATAAATCTACCTCACTGAGTTGTTGGGAGAGTCTGGGGGCATGATGTGAGATAAGTATTTTGCAAACATTAAAGAAATATATAAACATTCAGATTCTTATGTGGTCCTTCTGGTTCTATGTTTCTGTACCTCATGACCCTTCTGAGAACCCTGCTCAGGTCTCGAGTACCTGAACAATTCATGTATGATAACTAGAGTAGCATTATCCAGAAATGTCTAAAGCCCCTACATGCCAGCTTCCTAATTTTAGTCTTCTGTAGGCCAACTTGCATTGCAGCAGTTGGTGTTCATATACTAAACTAGATTTATACTGGCATTGTAAATATCACCTTAATATTTCAATAAAGTGATGCTACCTGACTAGGTAGCACCAAGATCCTCTTACCTGTCTGAGCAGTTATCAGGTGTATGTATTTACTTTATCTCCATCAAAATGAAACAATATTAGATATTTTTGTGTATATGGATTCCCACTATTAGCTTTTGTGCACATTAAAATCTGTTCTCAGAGTCATGCTGGTATTGGGGTTGTAGACCTAATCTGGATTCTCTTTAAGTCCAGTCTTCAGAATAAGAGTATTTGTATACATGTGGAAACCAAAGGTACACTTGTCAGTAGATTCTTTAATGGATGTGACAGCATAAAGCTGGGCAGGGGACAGTGCTATTTCTTTTTTAAAATGTTGAATGTCTTGTCAGCGTACATCTGTTGCATTTCTCCTTTTTGCTGGCCAGGTTTCGGTGGAACAACATGTCTCGTCTAGAGAAGGTATTTCTAAAGAACAATGTCATGGGGCTGATATCAAGTGTAAGTAATGAGTAGTTGGAGAACTTCTGCTAAGGGTAGATTAGGCTGAGGTGCTGCTTTTTAAAAAATGATTTGGGGAGTGTGATGTGAACAAAAATCAGATAATGTTGTGGGGATTTTATAATGCCATTGGGGAGGGAAGGGGAGGGGGGACAATGGTGTTTCTGTTCCAAAAGGGAAGAAGGTCCTGCCTGTGGTTTTTGTGGTAGTGAAATAATGATTTTAGACAGAGTGGTCCCTTATAAAAACTGTATTTTTTCCAAATTGCTATGAATGTGTAAAATTTGCTGAATTCAAAAAGTGCTTCATAAATTTCATTCAAAGGGCTACCTGCATAAATGTTTCAAGCACAATTTAAGTATTTTGTCATTACTTTATATATTAACTTCTTTAAATGGTCATTTCTTGGTGTCTAAGCTTTTTAGATCTGACTTAGAATGCAAGGCACCCATTTTTCTGCTTTCTTTCTTTTACTGTTACACTAATAGTTTACATTGTGCAAGGTGTTTGTGTTGGCAGAAAGAACCAACAGTTCGAAGTTTTGACCAAAGCCTTGGAAAAAATGGTTTCTAGCTCTTTTGTCCACAAATTATTTTCATCCTTGTTAGTGAAAATTCTTACTTGGATTGCAGTTTCTCTGGTTTAAGAAACAACCTAAATCTCAATTAAGTAGTTTTGACTGGGGTAGGGGAAGAGGGGTGGGGATAACTATAATAGCACTATTAATGAAGTACTATATTTCAAGCCCCAAATCTTGTTTCCCAACTTACTCTTTTTTATGCTGTCTTCACCGCCTGTCTACATACTTTCAGTCCCTCTGCTGCCTCCCAAAACAGAAGGGAAGAAGTATGAGTAGAAATTCTATTATATTTAGATAAAGAGAAGCTTCAAATCATCCTGGCGTTGAGTACCAGCTATTATTTGTTGAACAATCTTGTGAATTTATAAGAAGAGGTAATGGCATAACTATAGAATTCTTCAAACACTTTGGACAGCTGTGTTCTTATATCTATTTAAAGTAGTGCTGCTTCTATGTTTTCTGTATTGCTGTCTAGCAGTGTTTCTAAAACAGACTTTATGTATGTATTGGTCCTCTTTCAGGGGACTCAAAATATTTTGGAGGAAGAAAGCCACATTAAAGATGTTTTATCTAGAATTGTGGTGGAAATGATCAAGCGAGAATGGCCACAGCATTGGCCCGACATGTTGAAAGAATTGGACACCCTCTCCAAACAAGGGGTAGGAAGTACAACATACATTTGTCTCTTAGTACCTGAAAGGGCTTCTTTGAAAGCAACTACAGTTCATTTGAATTTGTAGAATGAAGCATGTGATTAATTTATTAAGTTAGTCTGTTATATTTTCTCCAAAACTTCAGACTAGTAGTTGTAGATAGCTAAAAGAAATCCTGTTTCAGTCAAACTTACCTGATTAATATTCATTGGTGTAGGAAACACAGACAGAACTAGTGATGTTCATCCTTCTGCGACTGGCAGAGGATGTGGTGACTTTTCAAACACTACCCCCTCAAAGAAGAAGGGACATCCAGCAAACACTAACCCAGAACATGGAAAAGATCTTCAGCTTTCTGCTTAATACTCTTCAACAGAACGTGAACAAATATCGGCGAATGGTAAGAGGAATCCCCTTTTTCCAGAGATGCAGCAAATAAAAAAGTCTTATTGTTCAGGTGGGATAACATTTCTGGATATAGTCTCTAAGGATGGATAAGAAAAGCAAAAGCCTTTGCATTAAGGCAAAATACATTGGCTGGTAGATGTGTCTCAGGCAAAGTAGTTTAGTGGGTAGAATCTATTTGGAGTCTGGAGGACCTGGGTTTGAATTCTGCCTGAGACACTTAGTAGTTCTGTGGCCCCCAGGAAGTCACTTAACCTCTCTGGGCCTCAGTTTCTTCATTTGTAAAATGAGGAGGTTGGATTCAGTGATGTCAAAAGTTTCTTCCAGCTCTAAATTTACGATTTTATGAACTGGAAATGACTTTCTTAAAATCTAGTGCCCAAAATTGACAAGGAAAGGGATCCATTACCTTTTCAGTAAGGAATCCTGGATTTTGCTGTAAAGATAAAGGTCTATTGCAACAACCATTAAGTACCTATTCTATGCAAAACACTGTACTATTAATTAGACATCTAATATTTGATTGACATTTTAATATTTACAAAGTCCGTCATTTGACAGTGAGGAGTAGTATGCTCATCAAATTGGTATCTCATTAATCCCAGTCTTTTGGTTGCTTTGATTCCTTTCAAGGAGTAGAAAAACTGTTGAGCCCAGTATTAGTCTTTGACACAGCGTTGTCCTGTTGAGACTTTAGCTTTTCAGAAAGGGGCTAGTTCAATATTGTCTTCTCATTAATCCCTGTAGGTGAGAAGAGGCATTTTGATTCCCTTGTTTCTAGAACGCAAAAACATTCCATATAGGAGGAGAATTTTAGTTCTTTCCTATAGCAGCGTGAAACTCTGGTGCCGTTAGCCATTTGGTTAAGTGTAAGAGCAAATGGGAAAAGGAGTAAGCATTTAGCTAAGTGCCTTACGAATATCATCTTATTTAATTTTCAGATACCTTGGACTGGAAGCTACACTAAAGCTTTTGTTTGTTTTTTGAGGCATTCAGGGTTAAGTGACTTGCCCACGGTCAAATAGCTAGTAAGTGTCTGAGTCCAAATTTGAACTCGGGTCCACCTGACTTCAGGGCCAGTGCTCTATTCATTGTACCACCCAGCTGCCTCCACTAATGGTTTTAAAAGAAAAGTGCAGAAAATACTTTATTTTAATATGGGAGGGGGCGGGAGACGGCCCTATTTTTTCTATTTTCTCAGGCTTAGCCCACTGATAGAATGGAAATGGGTGGGGTTTGTTGACTGAATATTCCTTGGGGATTAGCCAACTTTCTTAGAAAGTATAAATTATTATGACTTTTTGCTATAAAATTGAACTAGTAGCCTATAGTGAACTATGAATATAGGCTTATTTTGTTCCTAGGGGAGAAGTTTGATTTATAGCCTGAGAAGTATAATCGAATGGTTGTGACTTAATGGATATTTTTCAACTGGTAGTGGAATCCTTTTGGTTGGATAAATTGGTACACCACAAAAAAGAAGGTATTTCAGCTCTACAAATGTATAGTCTCCGAGCATTATCTGGAAGTTATCCTTGTTCACTGCATTGTTCTGTTATGCTAACAACATGCTGGGGTAATTTTAGGGCTGAATTTGGTAGCAAGTTAACAGGTATTTATTATGTGCCAGGCACTGTGCTAAGCACTGGAAATACAAATACAAGTAGAAAGAAAGATAATCCCTACCCTCAAGGTGGTTACATTCTAATGAAGGAAAAGTATGGTAAAAGGAAGTAGAAAAGGTGGGGAGAGAAGAAGATGGTGGAGGAATTCCTGAATGGAGCATGGAGAGGAATGAGACTTGGCTAACTGGAGACTTAGGGAAGAGCCATCCGATCAGAGGCAGAGGATACTTAGAGGTTGTGAATTCTAGGGCCAGAGTGAGACTTCAAGAGGAAGAGCTGGGGCAAGGTAGAGAAATCTTTGAGTGCAGAATTGTTTATTTTAAATGAGGGTAGCCTTCAGTTTTAAGAGAGAGGCTTTCCAGACAAAAATTAGATTTAAAGTATATGCTCCGGGTGTAAGCTACTTCACTCTCCAACTCCAGTGTTCTTGTCTGGCTTTGGCCAGTGGTTTTCAGAGATTCTGAGGCTGTGGATACTTCTGTTTGGGTTTACTTTTCCCAGAGTTACAGTCCCTAGTCTTGTGGTTGAGCAAGCCCGACAGATGATAGCTCAGAACATCATATAGAGTAGTAGGCGGAGGCAGTGTAGTAGAGTGAATGGATCTCTCGGCTTTTGGTCAGGAAGCTCTGGATTCTAATCTGGCCTCAGACACTTATTAGCTGTGTGACCCTGGGAGAGTCATATGTCTTAGTTTTCCTTGTTTGAGTGGGTTGGACTTGATGATCTAGAGGGTCTCTTCCAGTTCTAAATTTATGATCCTAGTATTTTTGTGCCTTCCATTTAAATTTCTTCATCCTCTAAGGCTTTTACTTGAATGTTGTGCCCCAGCAATTCCAAGACATACATTTGGAACATTGCAGTTCACTCAAACTTTGTTTCCATTTCCAGATTTTGACAATTCTCAGATATTGGAGAATAGTGCTTAGGACAATGCCTGGTACAAAGTGAGTGCTTAATAAATAATTAAAGATGAGATAAGCAGGCACAAGCATCATACTCTGTCATTCTTACTCTTACCTTGGTACCCAAGGGACCTGAAGAATCAGAGTTGAAATAGTAGAAATGCAGCAAGGGAGAAGTTAGTGGCAGTACTTTGACTGGATCCGTTATATTACCACTCTTCACGCAGTATCTATATTCCCATAGTGAAAGGAACATGCTTCTTACTCTCATTACATTTCTGCTTTACTAAAGTAATTATGTGGGGCAACTATGTGGCAAAGTAGATAGAGCACTGGGCCTAGAGTCAGGAGACTCATCTATGAGTTCAAATCCACCTCAGACGCTTAATAGCTGTGTGACCCTGGGCAGGCCACTTAATCCTGTTTGCCTCAGTTTCCTCATCCATAAAATGAGCTGGAGAAGGAAATGGCAAACCACTCCAGTATCTTTGCCAGGAAAACCCCAAATGGGGTCTCCAAGAGTGGGACCTGACTGAAACAACCGAACAACAGCAAAATAATTGTTGATGAAAGTTTTGAAAGGGTTCTTTACTGAGAAAATAGAAACCATCTGACACGAGCTTTTTCTTTTCCCCTGTTCTATAACTGGGACCATCTCAACCTCCCATTCTCTCTTGCATTGTTATAGTTTTTGATTGAAATGGCCCTTTGCAAAAGCCAAGACTTTGATCCTCATTCTACTTGCCACTTAAGTCATCCTATTCTCTCTTACTAATCTTGAATCTCTTTTTGTGTAATACGTACACGTTTGGGGGTCCTCCAACTTAAAAAATAAAAAAGTGGAAAAAACCCTTCACTTGACCCTGCCTTTCCTTTGAGCTATTGTCACATATATTCACATCCATACTCCTTGAATGAATATAGTTATACTCATAATCTGCACTTCTTTTCTCCCATTCATTTCTCATCCCCTTACAGTCTGACTTCAAACTCCAACGTTCATCTGAAAATGCTCTCTCTGAAACCAGCCATCTCTTGATTGCTAAGTCTAATTGACTTTTCTCAGTCTTCATTCTCATAACATCCCTGCAGCCTTTGGCACTATTGATGACCAGCCCTCCAGGAGAGTCTCCAGGCTTAGATTTTTTTTTTTACATTATTATTTCCTGGTTCTTCTCCCTCTCTGATTTCTTCTCGTTCTCCTTTGCTGGATGCTCACCTATTTCCTGTCCCCTTATAGATATTCTCTAAGACTCAGCCCTGGGTCCTTTTCTCTCCACCCACTTTTAGTGATTGCATCAGATCTCATAGGGTCACTCATCTATATGCAGACAAATCCCAAATCTATATATCTAGGTTTAATCTCTTCTGATCTATAGGCCTTTATTACCAACTTTATGCTGTGCAACTCTGTTAGGGGTGTCAGTGTCCACAATTCAAATTTAACACATCCAAAATAGAATTCATTATCTTCCTCCTTTCCCCACCTCAGCTTGTACCTCCTTCAAACTTCCTTGTTTCTGCTGAGAGCACCATGATCCATCTAGTTACCCAAGTTTACAGATTCTTTCTCACCTTTTATATCCAATCATTTATCAAGTCATATCAATCCTATTGGCACGTCATCTCCCCCATCCTTCCCCTCTCCACTGAAATGACTCCTAGCTAACTCAGGCCTTGACCCCGTCACCATGCCTTAACCATAGTAACTACCTCTTAATTGGGCTTTTATTCTGTAGTTTTTCTGCCCAATCCATCTTCCACACAGCTGCCCAAGTAATATTCTGAAACTCTCCCTTGCTTAAAAGTCTTCAGTGGCCTTTAAAATAAAATAAAAATTCCTGAGCTTAGTATTTAAAGTGCTTCATAATCTGGCTCCAGATCATCTTTTTCTTTATTCTGATAATTCTTTTTTAAAATTCAATTTCATTTTCAGTTCCTAATTATCTCTTCCCCATCCTTCCCCTCTACTTACTTAGAAGGCAAGAAAAACAAAACCCTTCACAAAGATGTATGGTTACTCAAAACAAATTCCCACATTATCCATGAACAAAAAAAGAAGAAAATATGCTTCAGTCTGCATTCTTGAGTCCATCAGCTCTCTATCAGGAGGTAGATGTCATGTTTCATAGTCTTTTGAAGTTGTGGTTAGTTGTGTTGATCAGAGTTCTTCTTAGTCTTTGAGAGTTGATCATCTTTACAATGTTGCTGTTGTGCAAATTTTTCTCCTGGTTCTGCTCACTTCACTCTGTATCAGTTTATGCAAGACTTCCAGGTTTTTCTGAAGCCATCTCCTTCATTGTTTCTTACAGCACAGTAGTATTTCATCACATTTATATACCATAACTTGTTGGGCAATTTCTCAATTGATTTTCATCTCATCAGTTTCCAATTCTTTGCTACCACAAAAAAGAGATGCTGTAAATATTTTTGTACATATGGGTCCTTTACCTCTTTCTTTGATTTCTTTGGGACATAAAACTATTACTGCATTTGTTCAGTCAAAGGATATGCACAGTTTAATAGCTTTATGGGCATAGTTCCACATTTCAGTCCTCCTTTTCCCATGTTTCTATCATGTTGCTCCACTTCATGTACTCTACTTATCAGCCAAACTGTCCTGTTTGCCATTCCCCTAACTCAGCAGTCCATTTTCCACCTCCATGCCTTTGGAAAGTGCCCCCCTCCCCACCAATGCGTAACCTTCCTACATAACTCTCAAAATCCCTGGCTTCCCTCAGGATTAAGTTCATTTGTTAGCATCTACGTTTTTGACATTTTTTTTTTTGTCCTGAACTTGAACACACATTATGTAAAATGAGCCATCTCCATTTATGTTGTAAAGGAAATGAGAATTGTACATGAAATTTTAAGTCTCTTGCTTTTCTTTTTAAAAATATAATAAAACCATCATGTAACTTTTCAAAGATGTCCTGGTTGCTTATAATACCCTCAGGCCTTCTTTTCGTTATCTTTTTTTTTTTCCCCAGCCAAAGGTAAGGTTTATTAGAACATCTGTCATATTGGGCAGACTCTTAAGGAGTCTGAACATGGGTAAGCAGTGGCTAGATTTTAAGAATCTGAGCAGTGGCTTCATTATCGTTTTTAAAAGGGAGAAACCCTTAAAATTCTTTGCTTCCCATTCCTTTCATCCCCATTGGAAAAAAATAAAAAACAAAAACTTTGCAGCAATATTACATAGTCAAGCAAACAAATCCCTTCTTTGGCCGTATCATTTGAAAAAAAAAAAGTATGTCTTATTCAGCATCCTGAGTATATCTCATTTCTTTTTTGTTTTTTGCTGAGGCAGTAGAAGTTAAGTGACTTGCCCAGGGTCACACAGCTAGAAAGTGTCTGAAGCAGTATTTGAGCTCAGGTCCTCCTGACTCCAAGGCTGGAGCTCTCTCCATTGTGCCACCTAGCTGCCCCAAAGATAGAATTTTATATTGTTTTAGATGAGGCAGTTGGGGTTGTGACTTGCTAAGAGTCACACAGCTAATGAGTGTTCTGTGTCAGAGGCTGTATTTGAACTTGGTTCCTCCTGACTCCACGGCTGGTGCTGTATTCACTGGGCCACCTAGCAGCCCCCAGTACATCCAGTTTCTGTCTGAATATTGTCTACTTTTCCTGTGTTGCCTTTTCTTAAACTCCTAGTTCTCTATGTTTGCTCTAATCAAATCATCTTGGATTTGCTTACCTGTTTTTTTCTTTGTATTGCCCAGTAATCTCCTTGAGAGCAGGGACTGTTTTTCATTTCTATCTTTGTATCCCCATAGCCAGAGTGTTTTTCATACGTGTTTAGTAAATGTTTACATGGTTTGTGTTAGGTCATGGAGTATAGTAAGTGATATCTTTTTTAAAATTGCAGAATATTTAGTTGAGGAAAAATTCATAATGAAATGAAATTTATCCTGTAATAAAAAATTAAAAATTCAGATTTTTGCTGACTTAATTTATACAGAGTATCGATTTATACATACTTATTGAGCTTGTTTTAGAAGTTACCATAATCTAGTCCATTTTTGCTTCTAATTTTCTCCAAGAGATACTATCTCAGAGGGGTGTTATTCTGAAGGATGAAGAATAAGATGTATTAAATAGATTTTAAACCTCTATTCCATGATTTCTCAAAGGTGTGTCTTCACCTTTTGGATTGGGGAAATGGGGAAGAATATTACATAATCATTGAACTGGATCCTTATTCTTTTTTTTTTTTCCCCTCTCCTCAGAAAACAGGTACTTCACAGGAGCCAAAGGTAAGGACTGTAGAGTGTTAGGAAACAGCTCATAACTTATAGCAAAACTCTTTAGTATTTGCATTTATAGGTAATACTTAAAAGTGGTTTTAAGTAATGGAGGCCATGGTGTTTCTACAGTGTCCTTGGCCAGTCATTTGGCTGTGTGTATCAGAAGTAAATCATACAGATCTCTGCTTCTGTAGTCTTAGATAAAAGTATGTTACTTGGTATTTGTTGAGAAAATAGATTTGTTTACAATAATTATTGATAGGAATTTATAGACTGAAGTGACTGTATTTGAGGAAGAAACTTCTAAGTTCCCTGCTGTATAGATGCTACAACTATTAGAATTGAAAAGAATCCTCTTTTTCAAGTAAAATTTGAAATAAAGGGTGAACTGTAACTAAGGTTTATCTATCTTTCACCTCTGATCCTTCAGTTTAGCCAGCATTGATTAAGCATCTACTGCAGACCTGCATAACCTGCAAACTTCTTCAGGCAGCAGATAGGTTAGACTAAAGACAAACTGATGATGGTTGGTTGCCATGGGTCATGTGACAAACGGTGTGAAGTAGCAACCCTACATTTTTCTTGGGCTGCCTTAAGTCCTTTGGCGGGCTGAGTGTTGTGCAGGCCTGATCTAATCTGTGCAAGGAAGTTACTGTGTACAACAAAGAAGAAAAATTCAGCTCCAGAGAGCATACAGTAAGAATATTATATACATGCATTTAAGTATATAATGTGTTCACAATAAGGTATAGTGTGGTAAAGACAAAAGAACTTGAGATAAAGTAATCTGGAATATGAGAGGGGAAGAACCCTTTTAGCTGAGGAGCACAATTACATCTACATATTTATCTGTCCATTTAGGCCCAGGCTAACTGCAGGGTAGGGATAGCAGCACTCAACACCCTGGCAGGCTACATTGACTGGGTGGCCATGAACCACATTACAGCTGAAAACTGCAAACTCCTAGAGATGCTGTGCTTGCTTCTGAACGAACCTGAACTTCAAGTAGGAGCAGCTGAATGTCTCCTAATTGCAGTCAGCAGGAAGGTATGTTGTTTCCTAGTTAACAAATGTTTCTTAGTCATTTATTACGTCCTGGACACTGTACTGGTTACTGGGACTGCAGTGATGAAATAAAGTAGGCTTTGTCCTTAAGGAGCTTACAGCAACCTAATAGGTCACATAAGGTATGTATATAAAAAAACAAAGAATAATTATTCTAATATAATTTCAAAGGAGATTAGAACCAAGTTCTTTGGGCGACTCAAGTAGGATGAGATATTTTTTCAGTTGGGGGTAAAGATGTAGAAGAGACTTATGAAGAAAATGTCAACTAAGCTCAGCCTTGAAAGACGTGAGAGGTTTCAGAAGAAGGAAACGAGAAAGGGAAAATGAGGACAGAGAGATGTCTGTTTTACTCATGGTAAAAACAAAAGGATACTAAAAAACAATAAATTCTATTCAGAATGCTGAGTGCAGGAAAAGAGAGGGTAGTGTAAACCTGGGAAAGCAAATTTTGGAGGGCTATGAATAGCCAGGGTAAGCAGTTTGGACTTGATCTGTTAGGCAGTAAAAAGCTACTAAGTATTCTTAACAACAAAATGAAGTGATAAGAGGTATGCTTAAAAAGATGGCAGTGTAAAGAGTAGGTTAGAATAAGGAGAGACTGGAGTCGGGATGACCAGTTAGTCTCTTACTGACAATCCAGGCCAGAAATGAGGAGGACCTGAACTAGGATGTTAGCAGTGGAAATAGAAAGGAAGGGATTGATTTGAGAGATAAAATTGTCAGGTTTGGTCAGTTGATTGGATGTGATTGAGAAGGACATTAAATATAACTACCCAGAGGTTGAATGACTAAAAAGGATGATGGTTTCATCAATAGAAGTAATAAAAAGTAGGTTTTGTAAGGAAGGTGAGATCAGTCTTAGGTATATGATCTTGAGGTGTCTGTTGGACTTCAAGGTAGAAAAGCCTAACTAGCAAATAGAACTGTGGGATTGAGACTCTCAGCTCTGGAATGATAGAGGAATCATCTGAATACAGGTGATAATTGAAACTATAGAGGTCAATGTAATACCCCAGGGAAAATTTATATGAAGAGAAAGATGGTCAAAGGCAAAGCCTTGAGGGAATAAACATTCAAGGAGGCAAAGAGAAAAGAATCAGCAAAGGACGCTGAATTGGTCTGATAGAGAATGGATGAGGAAAAATACGTAGAGGACAATAGCAGCATGAGAGCATGCAGAGGAGCTTTCTATCATGCTCCACTCAGATACCCACCACCTACCCTCAAAAACATCCCGGTGAAGCTTAGACTCTTCTACCCACAGGTAGAGGTACTGTATCCACAGAGGGCCCTTCTTCCCCCAAGTTATTTGGAGACCCAGGGACAAGCTAGGGTAGGTTGAGGGTGAAGTGCAAGCAGCACTTGACCCTAGGTAGGTCCATACTGCCTAGCAACACCCAGCTGTCCTAATGGCTATAGGAGTCCAGCTAGTGAGAGAATCCTCAGCATTCCAAGAGGGTCCAGCACAGCACTAGTGGGCTACCACCATAAATGACAGAATGACTTGGAATACAATTTTGCAAAAGGCAAGTGATGAAGGTTTACAACCAAGAATAGCGTATTCAGCACAACTCAGTGTGATGTTACAGGAGAGGAAATGAGCCTTTAGTGGAATAGAGGATTTCCAAGCACTCCTGATAAAAAGACTTGAACCAAATCGACATTTTCAAGTGGAAATGCGGCTGCTAAAAAGGTATACATGTTTATGATGAGTTGTTCACGTGTTAATAGGGGGATAAGGAAAAAGAAACCCAGCCTAAGTAGTCCCTGAAATCTGTGTTTGAAACCCAGCATAGGATTAGCCCCAGAGCCCAGCAGCTAGGGGAAAGGATCCAGTCAGAACCTGTATCAAGGCCCTAGAGTTCAGTGGCAAGAGGGCACCTCCAGGCAGAACTTAGTACTGGAATAGCCCCAGAGTCCCTTGAATGGGGCCTCTTGTACTCTGGAGCAAGGAAGCCCTACTCATGCTATTCAGTTTCACAGCTTGATCAAAATGTATCTCTGCCCTACCTCATCCTTTCCCTCACCCTCAAACTAGATAGTGAAGTGAAATGAGTAAATCATGGGAAACTCTGAATACTATGAGAAAAATGCATTGGAGAAGATACCCAGGAATAAATCCTGAGTGGTATAGCTGCCTCAAATCCAGGTAAAATCTTCCAGAGGAGAAAATGTCCCAACCATAGGAAATACAGGAGTACCTAAAAGATATGAATGAAATAAAATACCGAAAGAAGAAGCTAGAGTAGAAAGGATGGCAAGGACACCTTTAGAACAGATGGTGAAAAATCTCACCAAAGAACTGAATGCCCTGAAATGGGACAGACAGAATACAACTCAATGAGACAATAAGAAATAAAGCAAAATTTTAAAACAGAAAAAAATTATCAGACTATCTGAAAAATGCCATCAAAAAAAAAAGTCTGTATACCATATTTCAAGAAATTACAAATGAAAACTGCCCAGAACTCTTAGAACCAGAGGGCAAAGTGAAAATAGAATATACCAGTCAGATGAACAATCTCAGGACTATCATAGCCAAAATAAAGAGCTACCAGGGCAAAGAAAAAAAAATAAAGCCAAAAAATGGTGTTCAGATACCAACAAGCCACGATAAAGATCACATCAGATTTAGTAGCTGGCCACATTAATGACGGTATTGCAAAAGTAAAAGTGATGAGGGTTTACAACAAAGAATATCCTATTCAGCAAAACTAAGTGTAATGCTGCCAGGGAGCAAATGAGCCTTTAATGGAATAGAAGATTTCCAAGTAGTCCTGATAAAAAGACCTGAACTGAGTCGATATTTTCAAATGGAAATGCAGCTACCTAGAGAAACTAAAAAGGTACACATGTTTATGATGAATTGTTCACATGTTGATAGAAGGTTAAGAAACGAAAGTCTTCTCAGAACTCTGATATCTTTAAGGGTCAGAGAAAAGATTGAAAATGACAGATGGTCTGTAGATGATTTTGTTCTTACAAGAAGACAGAATTGGAAAGTATAAGGGACTATACTGGAGAGGAAAAGAGGAAGGGAAGAAAAATCACTATTGCCTAGTAAAAGTGCAGAGAGTAAAAAGTTTGTGGTTATAGAGGAAGGGATAGGAAGGAACCAGCATCTTTTATCTGAACCTAAGGAAGATAGAACACAATTACACACATTTGCATGCACATGCATTTCAGTATATAAATGCATTAAATTCAAAAGGGAAACACAGATGAAGGAGGGATGGAGAAAGAGGTCTAAGAGGAAGGGAATAGCTAAAACGAAACTTGAATATTGGAAAAGAACATGAAGCTTGGGGATTAAAAGAAAATCAAAAAGTAACAATCTGGCATCAGGTAGGGCAAGAAGAAGAAGAATTGGAACAGAGAAAACAGCTTCACATAAAAGATCACAAGTATCAGCAAAACTTTTTGCTACCGAGTGAAGAGTGAAGTAAGAGCAAAGAGGATAGAATGGTAAGAAATACACAATTAAAAATCATTTGTGAATGGGATGAATGCACCAATAAAATTTAAGAGGTAAAAAGCAGGATCTTAACAATGTTTACCAAAACTATGAATGAAGTCCAATGTGTTAGAAATGTTAAGGTTGTTTTGTTTTGTTTTAGTAAGATTGGGATAATGCCAGGAGGCCATTTTCATTAGTATTTCATAGTGCTAGAAATGATAGTTATTAACAGTAAGACAGGAAAACAGAAATAAAGGTGATAAAGGCAAAGAGGTAACAAAACTTGCTTTTCGCAAACATGATATTTAGAAAGCACTAATATTAACCAAGAGATTGAAATGACAAATTGAAATTGAAACAACATATCCACATAAAATTATGAGTATTTCTTTGTGTTACCAAGAAAACCCAGCAGGAAGAGTTAAAAAGTGAAATTCCACTTAAAATAACTACAGAAGCTATAAAATACTTGGAAGTGTATATAAAATGCATCCAGGAATTATATTAAATCAAACTAGAAAATATTTTGCGGAAATGAAGACCTGAATAATTGGACAAGTATTATTTACTCCTGAGGTCAAGTCAATGTAATAAAGATGACCCTGCTGCCTTTTTTAATTTACTTTTTCAGTGCAGTGTCAATTAAACAGGAATATTTTATATACCTAGAAAAAGTCATACTGAAATTCATATAAAGGAATAATATGTCAAGAATCACAAGATAATGATGGATAAAAAAGAAAAGTGAAAAGGAAGGGGGGAAAGGTTTTTAGTACTAAATTTTAAACTACTTTAAAGCAGTAATCACTAAAACAATTTGATGTTGGTTAAAAGAAAAAATAAGAGGTAGATCAGTGGAACAGATTAGGTAAAAATCATACAGAAACAAATACAGGAACATATTATTTGTTCAATTCAAAGACCCCAGTTATTGGAGAAAAGACTTAACTATTTAACAGAAACTGTTGGGGAAACTGGATAGCAGTCTGGCAGCAATTAAGTGTAGACCAGCATCTCCATGTAAACCAAAATAAGCTTCAAATGAATAAATGACCTAGATATAAAAGGTCATATAACAGATTAGCGGAAGCAAGAAAAACCTATTAGGGAAAGAGTTGACAACTCAGCAAGTGATAGGATCACACAATATAAAATGGATTATTTTGATCATATAAAACTTAGGTTTTTTTTAAGACATCTAAATGTAGCAAAAATTAGAAAGGAAACATAGCTGGGAAAAATATTTTGCAATAGATTTCTCCAGGTTATATTACAAACTGATTCACATGGATAAAACTTAAAGGATATGAACAAGTAATTTTCAAAGGAAGAAATCCAAATTTTCAACAACTATATGAAAAATTTCTCTTGTGTCACCAGTAAGAGAAATGAACATTAAGGCAACTTCAAGGTTCCACCTCATACCTATCAGACTAACAAACATGAAAAAAAAGAGGAAAATGACAAATGTTGGCCAGGACTATGTCACACTACTAGTTTGTTGTTGGTGGAGCTTTGATTT